GGAATATTTTTCAAGCCTGCTCTTCGCTTTTTGTTAGGAGCAAAATTATGTGAATTTAGTGGGGGCATACCGGCCTTATTAGTGGCAGTACCAGTTCCAACATCCCCAGGTCCTGAAGTAGATCCATCTTCTTCATGACCAGAATCATCTTCATTGTCAGGAATTGGGGGAGATTGCTCATTATTTTCTTCAGTACCATATGCCCAGTTGATCTCTGAGAACAAAATGGCGGCGGCCGCCACCGACAGGAACTTCAGGACGGCCATTCTCAAAACCAGAATTAAGACTGCCAAGCTGACGGGATGTGAAGAAATATAAAATTATCGTAATCACATTGGATATTGACTGCAATTTCGAGTGACAAACGATCCAAACGCTTAGGCAGAGTCGCGCAGAGCTGGGGCGGTCTTAAGCCTGGCACAGTTCCCTCCCTACTGGGCGCCGCTGGTCCGGTCCATAGTCTGGTCCACGGTGGTTCCCCGAGTAATTACGAAATTTCAAATTAACCCAAACTTTTTGTCGAAAGCAGTTTAAGAATAGTGTTTAGCGCTTCCCAACTGGTGCGTACGTCGCAACGGAGATCCTGCTGTCCGAACGCGCCTCCCCACTGAACCACAAGTGAGCCGAATTGCAGGTTAGTGTGACATCTCGAGTGTTTCTTACGTACATACATCTATTAAGCATATATTACGGCATATCAGCTTGTGTTAATGTCTACCCCTGGACTGCGCGTTGCCTCGGTGGGAGATCTCAGTGCAGGATTGGGATTTGCCCCGCATCCGTTGAGGTTATGTTCACCTCAGGCGCTGCAGTCACGATCTCCAGATCTCTGACCTCAGTTCTTCTGTGTGAAAATAGTTCAGCAGTAATGCATCTGAAGGAATACGGCCGTCTCCCACAAGCCGCGGCTCTACACCCGCGGCTCTACACACACTTCGCCTGACCCGTTGACCCCGTACGCCTCAGACGCCGAGACCCGCGTTGAGACCTCCACTGCAAAGAATTTGGCGCGTGGCATATTCCTCTCAGAGGCATTCATAACACTCTGGCCTTTATATGTAATGGATGTCTCTGAGTTCAGCGGCATTCAATGAAGTGGCATCGAAACCTCGACGCCCGTGGTCCACCATCGGGCACATTCTCCTCGGGTAGTCATTGACTAACCGCTTGGCAACAGCAGTCGGTATCTCCCAACGTGGGCAGTAGACTCTTGTTCTCGGACCAAGCTCCCTGCAC